GTAACAATAAAAAGTGCGATAACAAACCAGCATTTTTCCTGTAAAAACGTCATCCAATGATCGCTTGACAATTTTCATGATTTTGACAGAAGAAAAAGTTCGGTTAAAATCTTGCAGCTGCATTCTGTACACCTCGCTCTCATTTACAAGATTTTGGAGTACAGGATAATTTTTCCTGTAACTTCCTGCAAGTTCGTGTAAAAAACTGTAAGTTCATGGAGTACTGGATCAGAGCTATTGTTTCCAATATGTGTAAAAATCAAAAATTTTCATAACTTCAACTGTGACCGTATCATTGTTTCAAACATTCCCATACACGGGTAACATTGACTGTTCCTCGTGTATTCGCCGCTTAAACGAATTTGCAGAGAACAAAGTAAACTATAATCATTTAAGGGGAAATACACGACACCAGCTGGCAGGCACCATCAAGCGATTGTACCATCAAGCTCGAAGCATATAATATACCAGCATGCTGGTACAATATTTATTTCTTTATTATAATTTGTCTAGCATTTTGTTAAACATTGGCTTTTTAATTCACAGCTGCAATATTGAGAACTTTAATCTTCCACAAACACGGTTTTGACTCATATAGTGGAAGAAATTTAAGCCAAAATACTTTTTACTTAAAAAATTAGCTTATTTCTCCACTCACGAAACCAGCATGCGGGTACAATCATAAAAATGTCAAATAGTTTTTGATGTCGAACCAGCAGGTGGTTCAATCGCACCACAAGAACATACACGGTCAATCGGCTGGCTCCAACACATGATGAAGATGTACGGGTCCGTTTACAAAACCTTTTATTAATGATAACTAGTTTCTATCTCATTATATTATAATCGATAAATAAATCGCTGCAGTAAGGTGGAACAACTACGTATGATAAGCAAGTATCAAATAGCACGATTCAGAAAATAAAGGTCGCGCCATTCGCTGACCGCTAACCCTCTCTTCGTCGATTTGCAGATTTGCATTTGCAAGTTTTGTGTTTGCAACCAAGGCAACCGTTTGCATTTTATTGTTGTAAATTTCCAAATGCACCGAATATGCAAATACAAGAGCATATCGTCGCTACCATGTCAAACTCTCGAATGTGAAAATCGGTACTTTTCAGGATAGCAAAGAAACTTGTAAAAAATGTGGTTGTTATTAGGAAAAAGTGTGGGATTCGACAATTTGTAAAATGTCGAAAACTTAAAAGCCTGATTACACCGAAGACATATTTGGTTGGAAAAAATTGTTGAAAAGATAACAAAGATCGAAAAAGGCCGAAATTGACATTTCTTAATTAAAACAATGGGACTTGAAATTAAATTATCTGTTTTATTAATTTCAAATTAGCATTTATATTTCAGTAATTTTTCAGTTTATTTATAATTCTTCGTACAGATGAAAAACTATTGCTTGTACATACATACATATTTTGAAGACATGTCACCATACATACATAATTATAAAGATGTATAAATGTAATTCACAAAAATCAATAGAAACCTTGATATGGGGAGGTGGAATACGCTGAATTTTTTAGCATACTCTGTTCTTTTACTAAGGATATTTTTAGTATGATTCCTTCTCTTTTGGTAAGCGGATTTAGGTTCAGTGCCACCTCAAGAATTAATTAAATTCATTTTATTTTTGCGTAAACACTATAATAAGTAAATAAAAAACTTGGGGAGAGTGGCAAAAACCAAAAATGGACGAAAGGTGGAATGCAATTAAAAACATAGCACAATCGACCAATTTTGATTTAAAAAATATACTAATCCTAGTTGAGTTTGCTTTGTGTATTAAAGGAACAACTGCCTCAGTAGAAAGGACATTTTATGTTGAATCAAAGTTTTGAACGTTTATTATAGGTTTCAAATTGAAGTCTCATTGACATTGGTTATTTTGCTACACCAACTTTACATTGAATTCCTTTACAAAAAAAGATCTTTCATCTTAAATTCATGTTCAACATAAAAAGGCGTTCATGCCAAAAACTAATCAATTCAGAACTTCGACTCGTGTATGGATTTTCACAATCTGACAATCCCTATAATGATTCCAGAAAATTATAAGAATAATAAAAAGTTATGAAATTATTAGCACCAATAGCTGACACCTCGAAAATACAAATAAGCCACAATACCCGCAAGTATAATTTTTTAATTTTGTACGTTTAAAAAAAATAAATAATAATTAAAAGTCTATAAAAATCAATTTTTAGCACAAAATCGCCAACCCCCGGCCCCCTCCCCCTGCGGGCGGCCTGATTTGAAATTTATCAAAAATGTGTATAGCAGGGATCACACGATTTATACATTTGCACATTTGGCAGCCACAGAGTGGTGTGGTCTAGAAATTTGTTTCAAGAATTAGTTCATATAAATAACAACTTTCCAAACAACACCTCTCTGTTACTGTGAATGTAATTTCAATATTGTTTTCACTTACCGTTCTTACAAACGAATAAGAAAGGGGTAGAAGATCACATATACAAGAGTTTCGGTTACCTCAAAAACTCATAGAAACTTTGCCTGAAATCTGTGGTAAAAATCTTTCTGTTAGGTCAAGCTGGCGTCCGGAATAAAGCGCAAATAGTTATGGCAGCCCTAGGCATACTAGTAATTAACTTTACGAGAATTTCGGATTTATCGAAAATCACCAAAGTTGTAGACAATTTTTAATGCGCAAAATACACCACAAAAATATTTGCACTAATACCAATAAATGCGAATAACAATTGGAAAAAATCTGATTTGTACAAAGCTACAAAGCGCGAGAGCATGATTTCGTTAACCACTGAGCATGTAGAGTGAATTGTATAATAGTGGGTGACATATGTGACCCACTTGACTAACGTAAAATTAACAACTGGGTTAATACTATTCTTAAATTTTTGATTTTGGCTCTATTATATGCACATACGTTTCATACGTACGCACACCTTATTTAATCAAACGTTGGTACAACCGTATGCACACGCTGTAAATTTGTTTTAGCGCCAATACTGTTATCGATTATAATAAAATGAGATAGAAATTAGTAATATCTAATAAAAGGTTAACACAGAAAAGTATAAAGAGCAATATAAGCTACACAACCGGCATGACAGGCAATTTTTTTTACGAAAATTTCATGTTTTAAAGACACAACGATCAAACATCGATATATCTACGCAATAGTGGACAAATTTTGAGCAGCAGAACCACTGTCTGTAAATGTTGTGAGCGGAAAAGCAACGCAAACGGGTCGTGCTTGTACTGTGAGAAAATAAAAAAGTGAGTTTGACAAGCCGGTTGTGTAGTTTATTTTTCCTCTTAGTACATGCTAATGGGTACCATAATAGCAGAAGAGCAAATGCAACCCTGCCATGTATTTTGTTGTTGCTTGAGAAGCCTAAAATGTCAAAACAGAAAGAAATGTAAGCACGTTCGACCAATCAAAAGCAAGCAAAAAGGATGCTAATGTATGTGCGTGTGAATGTGTATATGAATGTAGCAAAGTTTGCCAGTTCAGATTTTTCACGAAATAGAAAAAATCAAATGCAGCCCCTCTGCTACTACCTGTTTAATATGCCTTGATGGGTACTTTGCAAAATGCCATCCTTGCCTGCAAAAATAAGTTGCTTATGAGAAACGATTTCTCATCAAATGATATCATAACGAATTACACAGGCCTGCGAAATTTTATTATTATTTGTTGTTATTTTTTTGACTATCTAGCTATGTTGAATTAAAAAAATCTTTGTTTTTTTCTAACACGTCGGGATCTCTTTTACCTGTTCTTATATTTTGGAGTATTTATGCAATTGCGAAGAAAATAACTTTTATCCCTTTTCTAAGCATTAACTTCGAAATTTCATAAGTTTTGCTGATTTACTTAGTCTTTTTTGAGTATTTTTACTAAAACTGTTTGTTTTTTTAATTAAAAATTCAAATTTAAATTGATTGCTAAAAATTCTAAAATATACATTTCACCAATAAAAAACTCTCGATATGCTAGAAAAAACCAAAGATGTATTTAATTTAACATACCTAAATGTTCAAAACAATTACCTAAGTTATTATTGGAAAAGTGAAAAAAGTTGAAATTCGCATGGCTGTGTTATTGAAATTAAGTTTAATTTTGGATTCTTATTAAAATGCCATTTAGCTTTCGTGTGATTTCAAATAAATTTTATTTAAATATGCGAAACAAGTGGCAACACTGTTGCTCGTTCTTTGAAATTGTTGTTGCACTTGCTTGTTGGTTTATACTTTGTGCTGCACAGCTGATTGTTGTTTGGCGAGATTGATAAAACAACCCACCAATCAATCTTGATTTTGGTACAAACGCAGGGTTGCATATCTCATATTTAAATAGCCAATATTGGCCATTTAAATGCAGATTAAATGTATGATCTGAAAATAAATTTTCGAAGTTAATCTACAATCTATACTAAAATAGGCCATCTAAAAATGGGCCTAAGAGAGCCCTAATAAAAGTATGGGGACGTATTATTGATTTAATACAAACCGAAATTTAAAATTTTCGATTCGTACGAAAATATGAATACGTCCCATTGATTATAGTACATTTCTTTTTTAATTTTCTGTTTGACGCAGAAATGCTCCTAGTTCTTCTGGGTGAATTTGTACATCAAAAATAAATTTTCTCAAAATTTAGGAAACTTTAAGTTCAGAACTTAATTGAATCCTGATTCCGAATTTATATCGAAAGGAATAAGTGAATAGTATAATAATGTGTGGAAAGTATAAAGTGTTCCAAGTCCCACTGAAATGGAAATATTGATGACGTAATGGAATAGCCCATTTAATATAAAATGGTGATATTCGTGACCATCTTCAATTCGATATGGAGTATACAAAATTATATAAAGAAAACTCATTTTGATGACAGTCATGAAACTGGCAATTCAACCATATGTATAAATTGTCATCAAAATATTCATTTGATATCGAAAGCACACTTTGATAACGTCACAGAAGAGGCCACCGTACATGATATGGCTATTGGCATGACTGTCTCCAAACTGGCGGATACACATAAGACATTTCACTTTGATAACTCTCATCGAAATGATCATATTACATTAAAAGCGATCGATGACGGTCATCAAAGTGACCAGAAGTCACCGAAATGTTCGTTAAATGTCAAGAATCGTTATCAAAGTGTTCAGTTCACATATATATAAATATATATATATATATATATATATATTATATACAGTAATAAACGTTTTCGCAGTTTTTCGCCATTTGCTCCCCGAGGAGTACTTTTGGGTTGTGTGCAGTGCCTTCGTTTGCGCGCACGGCAACACTTACTGTGGGGAATTTCGACTCATGATTAGAAAAGTTCTTTTCGAGGATAAAATATACATAATTATGTGTTATTTATGAACAAAATGTAGGTTAAGGGTCGGTTGTTCAATGTCTGATTAGCTCTAATCGGAGGTAGAAGCTCCGGTTTAATACAGCGACTGCTTTATCGATCCCATGTTATATGCATTACGTCCAGATCGTCGATAATGATGTACTGGTGATAACCAGACATTGAACAACCGGCCCTAAGTATAATACTCATTTTTAATGTATGCTGATACTCATGCTTAATGAAGAATAATATCAATAATTAAGTTCATAATTAACGCTTGTGTTTTATAAACTGGAAAACTCAAATAGCAATTATAGCACTGAATGGAGTTTTCTTAAATGTAAGTTTAAAATAAAGAAAAAAGTCCATTATAAGATTATATTTTTATGAAAAACGTAAATTTTGTGAATGTATCAAGAAAAATTCTAAATTTTCGAACATATGTAAGTCTTTATTAAAAAAAACAAGGTTTGTATAGTTACATAGACCCCAATGCCTGCCAGCGCATCCGCCCAGACAGCTCATTAAGCACACCCAAGTTTCATTGATCTACAAGTTATAAGCGTTTTCAGCATTTAGCAGTTCATTATCATGTACGGTGTAATATAACAAGTTATACACTGAACTATGATAATCTGTACTGGCATCTATAATAATAGACAATAATTTGCAATGGTTTTACACTTTTGCAACTAATTTCGGTCATTATTACACAGTCATTACTTGGGCCACACTGCCATCATACGGTTGTTGCTCCCTTCATACCACAGTAATTTTGTATACAACTCTGAATGAACAAAATGCATGCTCCATCTCATTATCAACCCTGATCATATTTTACCCCCGAGGAGTACTCAAAAAGGTTTATTACTGTATATCAAAGTTTTGGGTTGTTGTAGTAGTCGTTGTTGTTGCAGTTATATTCACTCCTGAGGAAGGCACGGGGTTGTGTGCTGCTATTTTGCTGCATTATTATTAGATAAATAAATTTAAGCATTTGACAAATCGTGAATTTATTAAAAGAAAATTATAAATGGTGTTGAAAACCCAAACAAACGGTCGTGCGAAATCTCTATTTTTGTGTATTGTTAAAATTTATACATGACGTATTGATGGTAATACAAGCAATTTATTCTTTTGTGGACTTTATGTTACTTGAGAATTTAGACAACGTGCGAGCTGCCAGGTTTTGTTATCAATATAATTAACACAAGCTTTTCCGCGTGGTTGCCTTTCAATAAATAGAATAAACAAATATTCGCAAATAAATTGGATTTATTTTATAACTAACAACTAACGTACGCTTTTTGTTATTTTCTCCATTTTGATTTTGACTCTTTATTACCGCCAACAACTTTATGTGTATACAAGCTTTCAAAATTTTGCGTAGTCCCATGAGCTAGTTAAAAACTATGGCATTCGTATTCACAACGAGAAATCTCGAAATTTTTGTTTGGTCTTTCCAAATTTTCTCTTTTTTATCAGTTGGCCAAGACCCTCAGTGGCAGCGCTCCGAGCGTTGAGATAGTAATTTCATGTCAATTAGTAGAAAAGCCCATGTTGAAAAAACTTTTTATTATGGCGAGAAAAATTTACATTTCTGCTGCGCCAATTCGTAACTTTTTACTGCTGGAAATTTTTGACAGTTGCTCTGGTGCAAAAGAAGTTGAGCAATTAAAATCAGAAATTATACAAAAAAGACTTGTCTTTGCTGACAGTTATTCTTCTAGAACTAAAAGCCATGCATTTATTATACGCCTTAGTAATAAAAATAGAACAAAAAAACTCTTCAAAACCGTCAGGCCGGGTTGAAAATTTTCATTCACCTCATAGTTAACAAAAATTTACTATCCGTAGTACTTTTCTATCAATTCGCAAATGCCGTTTGCACAAAAAAGGTTATGAAATGGGTTTTATTTAAATCGTTTAGAAAATGAGTCATTTACGTATACCATTTTATGTGGAATTATTCAATAAATTTCGTTTTACACATACTTTTTGAAACTATTTGGAGTTAATAATTTTTGTTTCATAAAAGCAACCCTGCGTGGTTGGAAGGCGGATGTACCAATAATTTCATCCCTGGCATATTCATCCCCGAGGAAGGCAGTCGCCAAATTCACCGAAGGTTGTTTACTGGTTATATTGTGCTGTATGTACTGTGCTTGCGGAAGATGATTAGATTCCATAGTTGTGTCTTTAATGTGTCCACAGGAGAAGACCGGTTAATACGTACTTGTAGTAAAATAGAGCGATCATTTCGTAATTTCTACAAAGACTTTTGGACGCCGAAGCCTGTAAACAGACCTCCATATGAACATTTCACTCAAGTGGGCGATCCAATTTTGCGTACTAAAGCCACACAAGTACCCGATGGACTTATCGGAAGTAAAGAAGTTACCTATATAGTGGAAAAAATGGTCAAAGTATTAAAGAAATTTGATTGCGTTGGGGTTGCAGCTCCTCAGGTCGGGATATCGCTCCGCATAATTGTCCTGGAGTTTCGCGAAGGTCTGAAAGATATCCTGCCAAGACCTGTTTATGAAGCGAGAGAAATGTCGCCACTTCCGTTAACGGTAAAGTTCAAAAAGATTTATGTTTCACCATGAAGAATTTGCATATGCTCATTATAGCCACTCTGCACTACGCTTTTTCAAGTTACACTTTCGAGGAACATTCTGCTTTGTAATTATGTATGTATAAAGAGGTCAACCAAATAATTTTTGAGCAAAAAAAAACGGACTTCAATTCTCATAAAAATTTAAGATTATCGTTAATCTTTTCATGATCCAATGATCGGATTTAAACCAAATTAGAATGGGACCACATGTGAGGTAACACCTTTCCTTTAAAAAAAGAGTTATAGAAATCGCTTACGTGGTCCAAAGATACGCGGTAACATACATAAAAAAAATAAAAATAAAAAAATCCGACGAATTGATAAAAATTTTCTCCTTTTTGTGAAGTCGGTAAAAAAAGGTAAAGGTGCACTGTTGCACAAGACGAAAAATTTACGAACAATTTCGAGACGGGTATCAATGGACGCATTTTAACACCAATAATGGGGAAACGTTCCTTGATGGCCGTTCGTTAAAGGTGTGGTGGGCGAAGGGGGAGTGGGCGTGGCACCTCCAACCGACCTTTTTGGAGAGAGCATGAACCGCCATTGACAAAAATGCAACCCCCGACCACCTAAACCTATGGTTCCCTACGTACTCCTTAGAAAAATGGCCAAAAATGGAAATTTTTGTTCCGTCCACAGTATTTTTGCGTAGAATTCCTTTTTGTGTAGGCGGCCTTCGGCCGCGCTTAGGGATTATAACCCTTACTACGTAGAATTCTCCTTTCTGTGTGACCTAACTGGGGCTACCGCCCCAGTGATGTAACCTTGGGAAAGGATGAGGTAACTAGAATTCTTTTTCTGTATGGTAAACCTGGGGCTGCCGCCCCAGTGATGTCTATTTTGGTTACTGGGTGTTTTATAAAAATGTCTTGTATACAAAAATGTGTATACTCAGCAAACAGTTAGGTTTGATATGCATTTGAGAATGATTTGAAATCAAAGCCTTTATCAAATGTCAAACGTTTGAAAATGATTTGATATTGATTTGAAAATTACAGCTTTCTCAATAAAAAGGGGAGTTTGATCTCCATTTGAGCATATGATTAACTCTCAAATCAATTTCAAAAGTTATTTATCAAATGTACTTCAAATGTGGAAATAAAATTTACAACAGGAAATGTATATTTCATATTTATTTATTTTTCTTCGCGATGTACATATGTATGTATGTACATAACAAAAGAAACAAGATAAAATAATTTATAATAAATTCGTCTTGAAGGACTGCAGCTTTTTCAATCCGCGCAAACATCAGATCCACTAACTGTGGGCTTTCTCTTTTAAATTTTTTCTATTCATTGTTTTTTTTTTCAATTGATCTTAGTTTTATTCTTACAACTTTTGATTTAACTGCGCATTTTTATAACGTTTGATACTTGACATCTTTCATTAAAATAAACTTCAAATGAATTTCAAATGTAAAATTTAAACCTCGTTTTCAATTTGAGAATCATTAGAGAAAAAGATTTGATATCAAGTTGAGAAATACTTTTTTTTCAAACGTTTAAAACTGTGTTTGCTGGGTATAAAAATGTATTGTGCAAGTGAATATTTAACATTTTTCAAGCGAATAAACGCAAATGAAAATTGTGATTTTTGGCAATTTTTCTAAGGGGTCCCTAGGGAACCATAGGGGACCTAGGTGGTGGGGGGGTTGCATTTTTGTCAATGGCGGTTCATTCCCTCTCCAAAAGGTGGGTTAGAGGTGCCTCGCCCACTTACCTTTCGCCCACCGCCCCTTTAACGAACGGCCATAAAGGAAAGCCAACCCCCAATAATAATAATCCGAGAGCGGAAATTAACTTCTTAACCGACTTCCAAAAAAGGAGGAGGTTATCAGTTGTCGGAATATTTTTTTTTTATGTATATACATATGTTACGCATAAGTTTAGACGACGTCAACCGATTTCGATAATTCTTTTTGCATCGGAAAGGTAACGTCTCAGAGGTGGTCCCATACTAATCTGGTTTAGATCCGATCATTGGATCATGAAATATATATATATATTTTTAAGTCGGTTTTTTTTTGCTAAAAATTACTTGTTAAATAATTAGAGTTCTTTGGAAAATTTTCCATTACGGAACCAGGCTTTCGAAAAAATTAAAAATGTGGAGGTGTAGAGCGGCTCTCCATTCTAAATCCGAAAACCACCCCCTCCGAAGGCTTATACATTCCCACGACAACCGGTTCTACGTACCGGAATGACTTGGGTTTTACCTGACCAAGGGCTGTTGTTTCGGCGATATAACACCGTTTAGGTCGGCGAAGTATCTCAGAAGTTGTTCATCCTTAGGGCTACATTCGCTACGTTTTCTCCTACTCAGGGATGGCATCGAGTCAAACCCAGGGCCAGAAACCTACACCTGCTGTGTATGCCAGAGAGGACTACACCACAACTCCACTTCTGTCAAGTGCAATGCTTGCGAGGGGTGGAGTAACCTCAGAGTCTGCTTAGGACTACGGACACATCGGTATTGGACCACGTCTTTTGTGGCCCCCTGCTGCTCTAACAGAGCAGCCTCCACGGCTAACCCCAGTCCACCTGAGCAGTCCCACACAAACACCACGGCACAACAACATAACACAATAGACCACAAAACAACGGCTACAGACCACAGAACACACACAACCACACCACCACCCACACGCCGCCGCCAACAACTCCTGGTTCCTGCTACAATCTGCACGGTATGTCAGACCAGGATATTCCGTAATGTGACATCAGTCAAGTGCAACACCTGCCTTGGCTGGTGCACCTTAGGGCATGCTCAGTTCTGCGCACCACGCGAGATTGGACGAGGAACTTAGAGAGCCCGTGTTGCGCTGCTCGGTCGCAGACCTCAACTGCGATGCCTCCCGCCACCACCACAGGGCGGCAACCACCTCAGCAGCGCACATCCCTCACACCCCGCATCACCACACGTCTCTCGAACCACATGAAGCTATCAATTTAACTGTAACGGGCTTCAGAGCAAGATCGAGGAGATAACCGTCTTCATGGGAAGGCATGGCATATTCATAGCTGCGGTCCAAGAGACGAAGTTGCACAGCAATTCAACACTCATGAATTGTGCCGGGTGCAACGTGCACCGTCGAGATCGCGAGCGGGATAATGGTGGAGGCTTAGCGTTCATTACGCACCACACCGTGCAGTATCGTCTTATCGAAGCAGACATCGACCGCAGGGATACCACCCTAGAATGTCAGGGCATTGCTATCCGGTCAGGCGATGTTGAACTCGAAATATTTAACGTTTATATACCCCCTGTCACCTGCTGCCCGGTAGGATATCACTCTGACATAGGTGCGCTCCTCACCGTATTGTAGTAGGCGACTTAAATGCGCACCACGATCTTTGGCACTCAAGCCTGTCAAACGATCGTAGGGGAACTGACTTGGCTGAGCAGATAGACGATTCGACATTCTGCACAATGAACGACGACGCACCCACCAGGATTATGGGCAGCTGCTGCAGCTCGCCAGACATAACAATAGTCAGCGCTGGTCTGATAAACAGCATAACATGGCGACCTATGCTGACTTTGGCATCAGACCACCTGCCCATAGTCATCTCGATCGATAAACCAACCGACTTTGCTTCCGCGGAGCACCGAACATATATCAACTTTTCAAAAGCTGATCGGAAAGGCTTCGCGGAATTTTCTGAGAGCACCTTCGCTGCGCTTTCCACACCAACCGACCCGATCCCGGAGATACCCGTATCAGGGATCTCAACGCGGAGATTCGGCACGCGGTACGCGGTAAACGTACATAAGCGGAAGAAGTGGGAAGTGCATCTAAAGACCTGCAACTTCACCTCTGGTGTGAGTAAGCTTTGGTCAACCGTGAGGTCACTGTCCAATCCGACGAAGCACGACGACAGAGTCGAAATTTCTTTCGGCAACCATGCTTCGTCGGACCCGGAGCGATGCGCTAGCTATTTTAGCCGGCAGTTAATACTGCATCCTCCGGTGGACAAAGCCAAGCGTTGAGTGACCAGAAGGCTGCACAAACCGCCAACAACCTGTGCCCCCCTTGCTTTCACTTGCGGTGAAGTTCAGGTGGCCATCGGGAAGGCGAAAGCCTCCAAAGCCATGGGTCCCGACGGAATATGCATGCTGATGCTGAAAAATTTGGGTCCTGCGGGGGCAGCGTACCTAACGGAGGTCCTCAATTTGTCCATGGCCACTCTCATCATCCCAGAGGTCTGGAAGGTGGGGAGAGTGGTCCCACTGCTCAAACCGGGAAACCTGCCAATAACAATCCTTTCCCCGGTAGCGAAGACACTCGAGGCCTTGCTACTCCCGTATTTCACAAACCATTTGACCCCAGCGAAGCATCAGCATGGTTTCCGTAAAGTGCCGAGTACAACAACAGCACCTAACGCCATAAACACTCGGATAACTCCGTGGCAGTGATGTAACCTCTTGTTACCGTATTTTTAAGACCACCCTCTATGAGCTATGCCTACAGTACATCCCTATTCTTAAGAAGAAGGTGTACAAACTACCGTGGTACACGAAGCGTTTAAAGCATCTAAAAAATTTAAAAAACAAATTTAGCAAATTGTATAAATCCTCAAACGACTCCGCGCATCTTCTTAAGTTCCGGTACTTTCTAAAAGAATTTAATTGTTTGAACAAATTTTTATACCGAAATTATATTTTAAACTTTGAAGCTAATATTATCTCGAATCCCAAATCTTTCTGGCGTTTCATTGATTCCCGAATATCTTGCTCATCAATTCCAACAAATGTTTTCTACAATGGTCGCTCCGCAAATTCAGCCTCTGACTCGGCAAACCTATTCGCTGAGTTTTTTTGCGCTAACTTTGTCAATGACATGGACTCGAATATAACGGGCTCTAGCTCTTCTAGTGACTCTTCGCTGAATTTTGGTTCGCTAACCATTTCAACCGAGGACGTTATCAAAGGAATTGGTGATCTTAAGCCATCTTCACAAGGCGATGTAGAGGGTTTCTCGGCTTTTTTGTTGAAAAACTGTCTATGTTTAGCTGAGCCTCTTACTGCAATCTTCAATCACTCTCTGGCCTCGGGCATATTTGTGGA